CCCGCCCGCCGCCCGGCAGGCTGGATGGCCTCGCTGTTGGCAGGACTCAGGCGACAGGGGCAAGTGCGCCCAGGGACTTCTCTCCTAATTTACCTCACGTGAAAATGGAGAGCCTGGAGGGGGCCAAACTGGATTCGAATTCGAGAGCCGTCCAGGCACTGGAGAGTCGAGCCCCCAGACAAATTCCTTCGTCAACCCAGTGCCCACTACCTGCTGTTCCAGGCGCTGGGGCCACAAGCCAGCAAACAATTACCGCAATTCCAGAGACTGGCAAGTGTCATCAGAACAGGAAAACGGGGTGATAGGGAGTGAGTTGCAGGGGCTATTGGGCGGTCGGGGGAAGGTCCATCTGAGGGGGTGCTGGGTTTTCAGTGGTAAGAAGGGGCGTTCCAGGCAGAGAAGACCGCAAGGGCAAAGGCCCTGCGGCGAGAACAGGCCTAACAAGTTCCTGAGGGACTCTGGGCCTATGCCCCAGTAGGTGCAAGGAGTGCTGGGCCCTCAGCCCTCCTGAGTCCCTCCAGACCCCAAGAACTGTCCTCAGAGCCTCTCAGAGGGAGGCAGGGAGAGGAGGAAAGGACAGGAGTGCCTGCTGTGCTCGGGTTTCTGGATCTGAAGGCCATGGGCTCAGAGAGCACCCAGAGCTGCTCTCTGGGGTGGGGGGAGTCAACCATGAGCTTGAGAGTCTAGGGCTGCCAAATCAAGAGAAGAGGAAGAGCTGGGGGCTGTGGGGAGACATGCCAGAGCAGGCCCCCAGAGAGCAGGGCCAGGACCCCTCCTGGAGGGTGCAGGAAGACCCCCGGCCAAGAGAGCACATGTGTGCCAAACCACCCCGCTTGCATGGCCGGAAGCTCTTCACAGGCGCTGGAGGGAGGCACAGCCGGCTGGACACGAGGAAGAGCTGCCAGCAAGTGGGGGCTGCGTATCTGTGGGAGCACAATCAGCACATCCGGTAGCCTTGAAACATCCTGTGCCTTTCCTTTCCCACCCTTTACCCCCACCTCCACTTCCCCACTAGAGCCCTGTGAGGGCCCCGCCCTGGGCTGTTTCACCCAGCCCTAGCTGGCTGGCACAGGGCGGCCCTGAAAATGCTATAGAATGAAGCTGCTTCCAAGAACAATGGGAGTCCTAGTGCGAGACTCTGGTGCTGCCACAGATACCATTCCCTGGGACCGCCACCTGGTGGTGTCATGCACGATGGCCTCCTGCACTCCAAGACCCCTTGGTAAACCCAGAGCCGCTGTGCCTGTGTGGCCAGGTGGGTTTCCAGGGACTTCCACTCGGCTGGCCTGGCCTCGCTCCCTCCCCCATGGGACCTACGGCTGCTGGGATCTGGGACCCCTCCCAGCACATTTTGGACAAGGGGAGGGATGAGTCTTATCCTGGCAGCCTCCTTGCTTTGGCTGGCTATCGCTGCCCACTGGAGCCACTCTCCTCTAGCCCACCCAGAGGCAGGTGCACCCTGAGGCCTGTGAGTTGCAGCAGTGCTGCAGGGACAAAGAGCTAAAATGGCTTGTCTTGGGCATCCCTCTCCTGTGCCTCCTCCAAGACTAAAAATTTCTGCAATTCATGACCTTCACTCCCAGTGTGGTTCCCTAGCCATGGACACCCTCATCTATCATACGGTTTTGTCATTTTTTGGGTCAGGTCAGGGTGATGTGCTGCTGATAGGGACATCTCTGGAAAAGTCACGTGTGAGCACCCATCTTTGTTGACCATCTTCTCAGACTCCTTTCAGGACCTCCTCAGAGTCAGGCTGGGATCCAGGTCTTCACTGTTCTCTCTGGGCTCCACTGGTCTACCCCCTCCTCCACATCAGCCCTGGAGGGCCCACTCCAGCAAGAACACATTAATGGAAGCCCCACCACTTACCAGGCACTATGCCAAGTTTCACCCACATATTTAATCCCCACAGTGATGCCATGAGAGAGGTACAACCACTATCCCCATTTTACAGCTGGGGAAACTGAGACAGGGGGAGGTTTTTGTTAGTTTGTTTGTGTTTTTTAACATACTTTGCCTGAAGTGACACAAATGGGAAGGAGCAAAGCTCACTCTGCTGTCCGCCCACCCCAGTTATGTGGAAAACACCTATTCAGACCTCTCTTCCCACCCAAGGGCAGAAACCAGCGGTAGAGTGTGTCCCTGTTGTACCCTAGGTGACCCCAGCTTCCCTAAAGCCTGCACCCCAACACCCTGTCTGCTCAGTTGTCTTACCTAACTGACCATAGTTATAAATGACTCCTTCCTCCAGGTAACCAGTAAAACCCCCAGAATCCTTCACTTGAAGGGAATGGTGGGTTACCCGGTCAAAGTCCTTCACAGTGAAGGGAGAAAGGAGGAGAGACTTTTAAAATCTGGGGTAACTGGCACTGAAAAGAAAGTTTTCTCCCCTGCCCTCCAGTCTTCAAATGATGGTCCACAGGCATGGAGGGGGATGTTCTAGGAGGAACCTTCCTCCTCAGTCCCTTTCCCCAGAGGCTAGTGTTGGGGCCTCTCAGCATGGATGCAGATGTTGGTGCAGGGTGGGCTCGTGGGCAGAGCTGAGCAAGCCAGTGTGAGTGGCGGGGAATGGGGTGGGGGGCATGTGGGGCATCAGTGAGTGATCCAAAAAGTCATTTTCTGAGCCCTTAAAGAATAATTAACTACCTTGGAGGGGCTGGCCTACAGGTACCCTGGGCTCAATGATGCGAAAGGGACAGAGGCTCAAGCATCCTCAGGCCCTACCCGGCCAAGTGTGTTGAATAGTTTATTCTCATAATTAGGAGTGTTTTGGGGGTTAACGGAGGTGAGGGCCGAAAGTCGCTTGACATACACTACGTGCTCCATAAATGGCCAGACAGGCACGGGTGGCCCGAGATCCCCCTCCCCCAGGCTACTCCGGGCCCCTTCCTGATGGGCACGCTGGTTTTATCAGGCCCTGCTGGGGCGCAGAGGTTTGGGCGGCGGGGAGGGGGCCGGTCCAGCACCCTGGACAGCGCCTTTTGGCTCCGCCCCACAGTTTCTCCTCCGGGCCTGGCTGGGTGGGTCCAGCCCGCCATCCGCCCGTGGTTTGGTCCGGCAGTCCGCAGCGGGGTCCGCCAGGCTGGCCGTTGCCCCGCCAGCCGGTTGGTGGAGGGCAGCCCCGAGCAGATGGGCGGGGGACGCCCAGCCAGTTTGGTGCAGCAACGGCCACGCGGCGTGGAGGCGGGCCCGGCGGGCCACTGGGGCCGAGGCGGGCAGCGCGGAGCCGGCACCCAGGACCGCACCGCTCCGCCCGTCACGTGAGCTCCGACTGTCCCGTGGGAGGGAACCCGGAGCTGGAGCCAGTTGAAACGAAAATTGGCTCTGAGGGCTCCTGGGTTGCGTCGTTTTCTCTGGGCCTCAGTTTCCCACTTCAAAATCGAGGAGGAGGGAACAACATAATCTCTAACTCGGTGAACCGCCCGAGGATTCTATGAAGTCCTCAGAGCCCTGAGCAGGCGTCCAGCGACGGGGGCCCCAGTCCTGCCCCGGCCAGTTCCCAGCGGCTGGGGGCCGAGCAAGTTGAGACCTCTCTCCGGGACTCGGTTTCCCCTTCCAGCTCGGCCCTTCAGTCCGCAGAGCAACTAGTGGGGCGAGTCCCTCCCCCTCGTAGAAAGCCGCATGGGAGCTCCCTGAGGCCGGACCCTGGGAGTCCCGCCGCCGCTGGGTCCCCTGCCCGATCCTAAGGCGGGGCTCAGAGGAGGCCCTGAGCCCGAATGAATGAAGAAGGGCGGCGCTGGACAGGGAGGGACTGCAGCCTGAGCGAGGCGAGGCGTGGCTCCACCCGCGCCCCTCCTGCCCGCGTTATCAGGGCAGTAATGGCTTCGATGGCGCCCCCACACACCCCTGCATATGCGACGCCGCCGCACATGGGACGCGAAGGCCTGGAGTCGGATGCCGGGGGCTCCGCAGTTCCCCCTCCTGCCCCCACCCCGCGGAGGAACAAAGGCGGGAGGTGGGGCCCGAAGGCGGCCCGACTCCGCGGGGCGGGACCGGCGGGGCGGACGACGCCGCGTCCTTAAAGCCGGGCTGCGGGGGTGGCGCGCACTCCTCTGGCGCCTGCTGGGACAGCGCGCTGGACCCGTTTTCCGGCCTCGGTCTCCGCTCCGCGTCGGAGCGGACGCAGGTCTGCCACGCGCTGGGCCCCCAAGAGGCACCGCTTTCGCACCGAGCATGGGGCTGCCTCGGAGGACCGGGGACCGAGCGGAGCTGCGCAAGGTAGGAGCCCGGGACTGGGGACTGGGGACGGAGCAGCCGGGGCGGGGGCTTAGACTGCGACCCGCGTAACCGCAGCCTCCGCGCCCGCCGGCAGAGCCTGAAGCCGCTGCTGGAGAAGCGCCGCCGCGCGCGCATCAATGAGAGCCTGAGGCAGCTCAAGGGGCTCATCCTGCCGCTGCTCGGCAGGGAGGTGAGTGCTGGGGCGTTCAGGGCCGGAGGTGAGGGGTCTGGGCGCGGAGCGACGAAAGAGGGTGGGCCGAGGTGCCCCTGCCCCAGGAACCGACGAGAGGGCTCCACGCGGACCACAAGGCCGAGCCCAGGTGGGGCTGGCCCGGAGGCACCAGCTCCTGGCAAGAGCGCGGTGCTCACGGGAGCCTGCCGGAGCTCTGTCTTGTTTGTCCGTTTCTCTGTCTGACACTCTCCTTCGTGGCCGGGCGCAGAGCTCCCGCTACTCGAAACTGGAGAAGGCGGATATCCTGGAAATGACCGTGCGCTTTCTACAGGAGCTGCCTGCGTCCTCCTGTCCGGCGGCAGCGCCCGGTGAGTGACCCCGCCCCGCCCCTGCCCCTGCCCCAGCCCTGCCCCGCCCCCGGCGCCCCGCACCCCACTCCGCGCCTCACGCCCCTCTCCATCCGCAGCGCCCTCCGACAGCTACCGCGAGGGCTACCGCGCCTGCCTGGCGCGCCTGGCCCGCATGCTGCCCGCCTGCCGCGTCCTGGAGCCCGCCGTGAGCGCTCGCTTGCTGGAGCACCTGTGGTGGAGGGCAGCCAGTGCCACCCCCGACGGCAGGCGCGCTGGGGACTCCTGCGGCCCGCCCTCTCCCTCCTCGCCACCCGCGCCTGCACTCTCGCCGCCTGCGCCTCCCCGCAGCCCCGGCCTCTGGCGGCCCTGGTAGCCCCCTGGCGGGTCCAGGGACCCTGCTGACTGTGAGGGATCTGGAGGGCTGGGCAGACTGAGAAAGCTCTTGGTGGCAGCTGCTGTTCCCATCACCAGGGACCAGCCCAGCACCCACAACCGGCCGGAACCCGGATGTTTGCGATCTGTGTGGCAGACTTAAGGTCATGGGGACTCAGCTGGAGGAAATAAGGGGAGAATTTCAGTTTCACCCCCAACTTGGGGGTGTCTTGGCTGGAAGAGAAGGGGCAGTTGGCTGCTGGGGGAAGAAGCCCCCCACCCCAGCTAGTGGAAGTGGCTCTAGAGCTGGGCCAGCCACAGCTGCCTGAGCAGCTGACACACCTGCCCCAGCGCTGGCACCAGACCAAGGGCTGGGCCAGGAGCTCACCTGAGCCAGGTGCAGCCATCTGCTCTGACTGGTCACTGCCCTTCCAGCCCTGCTTGGGCCTGCCTCCTCGCCAGCTCAGCTCGGGAACCTCTGGGCACACAGCAGCAATGACCCGAGGGCTCTACAGGCCGGGGAGTCATCACCTCCACTCCTGGTCTCTCCTGCCCAAAGCTTCCAATTACAGGGACAGGATGCAGCTAGGATTCTGTGTTGCTGGACGTGAGGGCTTCGTTAGGTGGTCTTGGGAAGGATTTATTTCCCCAAGCATTAAGTTAACATCTATGTACCACACACTGGGCCAGGTGGTCTTGGGGTGGGAGAAAGGGGTGAGACAAGGGGTGAGGGTGCCCTGTGGCCTGTCCCTTTGGAGGGCCTGAGCCGAGCATAGAGCGGGTGCCAATGTGAGGTGAACAGGGCCCATGTCCCAGAGCAGCAGAAATTCAAGGCATGATGGCAGGTTAAGGAGCAGGAAACGTCTTTCCTCGTTTTCTCCTGCAAACTGCTCTCTCCTCCTCGTCAGGACAGGTTACCGGAAGCAACTTTTTGTTAAGACTTTTGTTTCTTCCCCATGGAAGACAGGACAGCCTGCCAAGACTCAGAGAGGGGCTTGCGGATCCCAGTAGTGGGTGCCCAAGAAAAGGTGGGAGCACCTGCAGCCCACTGTCCGTCGTGTTCCCACCATTTCATGGGGATTTGCTGAGCATTCACAGGAGTTAGGAGCCCTCCCCCCAGTCTCCAGTGAAATAGCCTGTTCAAGGGACCAGGGCACTATGGGCAAGAAAATAGAGGTGATGTGTGTGGGGGGGTCACTAAATCAGACAGTGCCACATAAACACATGAGGACCTAGGCACTGATTTGGGTGGCAGGATGTGGGGAAGCTGTGGGCATTATTGAAGAAGTTAGTGTTAAGACAACAAGGTAAGCCCCCAGCAACGTGTGCTGTCTTACCACCTCTCTCCAGGCCCAACAGCTGGACTGTAAGCTCTTGGAGGGCAGGGCTGGGGCCGGGTGCCCCTCTCTGTCCCCAAGGACTTCGGCACAGGTGGTGCTCAATAAACACCAGGAGCTGATGAACGGTGACGTGACTGGACCACGCTGTACTGAACCCTGGGCAGCCTGGCTTGTGCCTCAACTCCCACCCCATCCTATTATCACTTTGAATATCTGCTCCACCAGAGCCTGTGTCCCTGAGGACAAATGTGGGGGAGGGTGTGGAGAGCAGGGAGAGCAAGCCTGCTTTCCTGAGCTGCCAGGAGCAGGTGGAGAAGGTAACAGGGAACCCACGCCCGCCCCATGAGTTCAAGTTTCCTCCTTGGGTCAAGGACTCCACGTTGGGCACACACTGGGCAGGCTCTGCGTCCCTGTAAACAAAAACTTTCAATACAGGTTTAAACTCCATAAGAACTGACCAACCGGAGGCCCTCTCCTCCTTTCAGCCATATCTGTCACTTCTTGCTTCTAAGCCTCGCCTAGGTCCCCAGCTCTGTGACTCTTGCTGACCTGACCCCAATCAAGCTGTAATACAGGCAGTCAGGGAGTGGGGAGTGTAGACAGGCCAGTGACTCATAGGGTCAGGCATTCTGGGGAACCTGAGCCAGGCAGCCAGCCTGGCTTTGGCAGGGAGCTAAGGCATGCCCAGGCGGGTGAGGTTCTGGGCCCTAGGTGAGAAGCCAGTTTCCCAGCAGGGATGTGCAAGCTGCCTAGAAGGTCTCAGCTGGTACCCTGAGCTGGGCTTGTGAAATAGGGACTCCAATAGCCTCCTCCATAAGGCACCTGCGGGCACTTCCTCCTGGCAGCTCCCCAGGTATTCCCAGGGCCCTGTCTCACGCCTGAAGGGGAGCACAGGGCAGTATGGGCTTTTTCTGTGTGGGAGGGAGGCTGCGTCACCCAGAGAGGCATTTCATGATCTTTAATGAGGCTCACCTTGTGCCCAGTGCCTCTTGCAATGTCGTCTCTGCTGTGGTCCCATGACTGAATATAACTCTGTCTGGTTGTCACACTTCGTTGGAGAAATGGCTCCCGTGTCCCTCATAAACCAGTGGGTGAAATAATCCAATGACCCACAGACAACCAGAGCGTGAGCTGTCTGGGAGACTCAGGCTGGGGCCAGGCCCCACCTGTCCCCCAGCACCGGTTAATTTGGAGAGGTTAAACCTCGTTTCCATGAGTGAGGATAAAGAGCAGGTTGCCAAGGAGGCCTCCTTTAACAAACATTTACAGATTACTCTGCTCCGCCTGAAGCCCAGACTCTGCAGATGAGTCTCCCCCTGGTTTATCTGAATCGGAATGAACAAGCCTGTGGAGAAACTCTGGAAAAATCTGCGGCTCTGCAGAACCCTCTGGACAGTCTTTGTGATGACCATTCTGGAGGCAGTGGAGGGATAGAGGGGGCCTTCCCCATTATGTGCAGTCACTTCCTACTCAAAACATCAATATGAGGCCATATTGACTTTTAAAAAACACTCCAGGTTGCTATAGGTGTTCCAAAGAAGAATTAACCCAGCCAGTGGTGTTATTTCCCTTGGTTTTACTTCTTGCCTGGCCCCTTACTAGTGTGGCCACGTCTCTGGAGTGCAGAATGTATGAATGCCTGAGTGTGCGTGTGTATCCTTGCACAGCCGGGTGGCCGACCTGCAGAGAGCTGCCTGGGCACGCGATGTGGGGGAGAAGGCAGCCACCCACCAAGGGTTCCCAGTGAGCAACTAGTTTCACTCTGGGCTTTGAGAGGCCCTGGCAAAGCCCCAGGCGCTTAAAGCAGCTATAATAAAGCTTTGCATGGTTTCAGGAGCGTGAGAAAGGCACTAGAGGGCGTGCCCCACGTGCGCATGTGGTGTCTTATCACTTGAGATCCGTTGGGGGGCAGTAGGGAGCACAGGCTGGGTGGCTGGGCCCAGGACCCTGCTCTGTAAGGGAGAGTTGGCTGGCTTGGGGGAGAAGGGAGAGTCCAAACTGAATATGTGTGCACTGCTGGTTCTGTTGTGGAGGGTGGGCCTTGGTATATTTAGAACCTCAGAGAAGGGGCCAGCCCAGTGGCGTAGTGGTTAAGTTCGGCATACTCCACTTTAGCGGCCCAGGTTCCTGGGGTTCGGATCCCGGGTGCGAACTTACACCACTCGTGGGCCATGCTGTGGCAGTGACCCACATATAAAATAGAGGAATGTTGGCACAGATGTTAGCTCAGGGCTAATCTTCCTCAAGTAAAAAAAAAAATCTTAGGGAGCACAGAACCAAGTTCTTAAAGAACAAAGAACCATTCGCGACCTCAGAAATCAGAGGCAGACCCGGGTTTTGTGGACTACGTTTTGAAGCCCTCTGTAAGAAAACTAACATAAAATTATGAGTATAGACATAGTATGAAAATGAACATTAATTTAGAATGAAAAATAAGTCACATCAGACTAGTGGTGCTTGCAGATTGATGTCCCATCCTTTTGGTTTCTCTTTAAGCAATTTGCCAGACACACTTCCACAGAAATGCTTCCTGGTGACAACACTGGCCTCCCCTGCTCCTAGAACCTTCTACTACTCTATGTCCTCGCTCGTGAGCAGATCCAAGCTTAAGCCTCACCAGCCTCTGCCCAGAACGGACTGTGGATCTGCTCGAACGACAAGAAGATAAATGCCTTCCATGCGCTTCATCCACTCATTATGGGCTATATAGTACAAGATATCTATATTTGCACAAACATTTACAGCATTTACAGCAATTTTTTTTCCTTCACACCTATCTGGGAAGCTTGTGAAATGCAGATTTCCAGGTTCCACCTCCAGGGGTTTGTCTGAGTCAATAGCCTGATGCCACACACCTGAAACCAGGCTAATCTGCTCTAGCAAAGACACCACATCTGAGAACCGAGGGGCCAGGGGCTGGGGGACGGGGAATGGGAAGTTATTGCTTAACAGGGACAGAGTTCCAGTTTTGCAAGATGAAAAGAGTTCTGGAGGTGGATGGTGGGAATGGTTGCACAACAATGTGAATGCACTTAACACAACTGAACTGCACACTGAAAAATGGTTAAGATGGTAAATTTTGTGTGTATTTTACCACCAAAAAAGTAAATAAGTAAAAAGATGCCACATCTGCACTTAGGGCTCCTCCTCAATCGAGTTGGCAGTAGGTTGTCCTCCAAGATCCATCTGGTTTTCACCAGAACTAGATTGGTCAATTAAATGAAACTATGATGCATCTTTTAGGTCTTTTAAGAGTGGCATTAATTTTTGCCATTCTGGGAATCTAGAGTGTTTTGATTCACTTTCTTGGTTGGGGGCAGTTTAGAGGTTTGCACTTTTTAAAAACAATTTGTTTGGGCCGGCCTCGTGGCTTAGCGGTTAAGTGCTCGTGCTCTGCTACTGGCAGCCCGGGTTCGGATCCCGGGCACGTACCGACGTACTGCTTCTCCGGCCATGCTGAGGCCGCGTCCCACATACAGCAACTAGAAGGATGTGCAAGTATGATATACAACTATCTACTGGGTCTTTGGGGCAAAAAAATGGAGGAGGATTGGCAATAGATGTTAGCTCAGAGCAGGTCTTCCTCAGCAAAATAAAAAAGAGGAGGATTAGCATGGATGTTAGCTCAGGGCTGATCTTCCTTACAAAAAAACAACAACAACAATTTGTTAGCACCCTAACGATAACTTTAGCATCTTATTAACATATATACTGTTAATTTGATAGATGCAAATTATCCTTCCCTTCCAAAATTAACACTCTATTTAAAAAAGTGATATACAACGATAGACATGCATGTAGAGTCCACTTCTAAACAAAGCATGACATGGGAAAGTATTAAATTAAGAGACATATATTTTCCCACTATGCTTTCATTCATTTTCCTTGCATCTGTTTTTTAATCTACCTTTGTTTTTTCTTTAATTC